GACAATTGTCTTAAAAATTACTTTTGTATTTCGAAAGACTATGGTGAATGGAAAGACAGTGACCAGAACTGCCCTGTACCTTTTTGGGCTGTATTCCTTTTTAGAGATGCTCATGTTCCAGAAAGGAAAAGGGGCTGCGATGAAAGCCAGAACCTTCTTGTTTGTTAGCTGAGTGCTTTGAGGAAAGGAGGACACAACAAGGCCACTATTGGCTTTAGTCTGTTCAGCGTGCAGCCGTACCCATGACGCGGTTTGGCCATTCGAGCAGACGACGAGAAGCCACCCATCTCGAGGGACTCATCTCTCGTACTCCGGCATTACATCAATCCCCGATCGCTTAATCACGCGATCGTTTATAAATTCTTGAAGCTGAGCCAATTTCTCTGCTCCAAGTTGTTTGTTGACGGTGTCAACGGGAATGAAGTCTTGCTGTTGTTTCGATTGGCCTCACATCCCCTCGCTGCTCGGAGCGCACCCGTTTAAGCTTCTCAGCGGAAATTGAAATACTCTTGGCGATTTGTGTAGCCGCTTTCCTAGACTTTCCACGGTCTAGAGTTCGCTTGAAAACTCTCCTTTCTCTGAAGTTCAAAGGGGCAAAGCCTTAAGTAGGGTATAAGGTGACTCCTTGCACCAATGTGTGGACTTTAGTTGGACCTGAGGCAGCAGCTATCGACTTCTGAGTGCGAAGAACCTTCGGACACTAGACTGCCAGAAGCTGAGCTTGACAACGATCAGGCGACCCACTGGCCACTGACATAGCCGGAATGACCTCAGCCCTGCAGGCTTGATCCGGAGTGATGATTTTGGAGCTCCATCAGGCAAATTTTTTCTAATTTTTTCTAATGTTTTTGCTATTTTTTCACGTGTTCCCCACAGTAACGTGAAAATGGGAGAAATACACCGGGGTATCCCGAACCCACCTTGAAACTGGAGGACGACCGATATCCAGAGTCCGCACACTAGGAGCCAGGCACCCTCCATTAGCCATGAATTTTTCGGCATACGCTGTTTCACCTTGGAGTTGGGGTAATTTATGGAAAGGAGAGGTAGCGCAGAAGGTGTGAGATCAATGTCAGACCCATAGCTCGACTGTACTCTAATATCAATCTCTCCTCCCCACGTGTTTTCTTCTCTGCGCTCGACTACCACTAGCCAGCACTATTTCCAGGACATGACCATAGCTACAGCCTGCATGCGGACGGAAGACACCCCCTAATAAGTGCCGACCGTCCGCACACCTGTCGTACTCTCGTCTGATGCCCATATTTAAAAAAATTTACTGACTTATCACTTAAATTGATTTTGAGATACTTAACATGGGGCAACGCTCTTCAAAAGTATATATAAAGAATTAAAGCTTTCTTAAAATTTTTTCGATAGCATATATACATATGTACGTACTTATATTTAATACACATTTTTATAAAAAAAAATTAATTAACTTTTTATTTAAACTGATTTTAATTTATTGAGTAGGTGGCAAGCTTCTTCAAAAATTTTTTAATAATAAAGTTCACTTAAACCTCTCTCGTTTTAAACCCATATTAAAAAAAAAAAAACATCGCTTAATTTATCAAATCAAATCGATTTTGGGTTACTAAACAGGTGGCAACCCTCTTAAGAAATATTTTCGAAATAAAGCTTTTAAAAATTGATCTTTTCATACCCATATGTATTAAACTACTGTAGTTAAGAGCTGAGGTAAGTTCCAAGAATTTTAACATTTAATCTCCGTTTTCCAATAGGCATCCGCTGCAGTTAAGGCTTGGTGGAAATAAACTATGCTCTCTGCTAATCATAGAATATTATGCGATATAAGTCTTCAAAAACGTAATCAAATAATTACAGACGAATCTTGCAGCTATGTAAACCCACCCGACAACTTACCGGCTGAAGCGGCTGTATGTATTTGCTAACGAGCGTGACGACATAGTGGAAGCTTTATTCGACGGTCACGCCTCATGCGCGACCTACTTTAGCCGGCAATTTACACTGCATCCTTCTGCGGATAAGGCCAAACGTCGAGTGCTCAGAAGGCTGTATAAACAGCAAAAAAAAACAAAAACAAAAACGTGCGCACCTTGCTCTCATCAGCGGTGAAGTCCCGGTGGCCATGGGGAAAGCAATAGCCTCCAAAGATTATAACTGAAAAAATTTTGTTCTAAAGCTTTCGCCTGCACTGGCGTTATGGCTTACACTGAAGCTTATGCCGAATTTCTCCTAGGTATTAAATGACTAAAATTTTAATGACAATCGGGCAGGTTCTGCCATTCACTACCGAGTGAATTTCAACCAAAGCCACTTTGAATTCAAATTGAATGGAGTTGAAATTCACTCGGAAGTGAATTGGAGAACCTGAATGCCTGAATGTTTCGCTTAAAAAATTATCCATGTCATTTCAATGCCTAGTGGAAATTTGGCATTACGTTTTTATTTGAGCTTTTATTTTTATTAAAGCTTTCGCCTGCACCTGCGCTATAACTTTCAATGGAGCTTTTGTACATATTTAAGCTTTCACGTACCCTTGCCTTCCCGGCGGATGTAGCATATCTCGCAAAGGCCCTCAATTTGCCATTGTCAGATAACCCGTGGCCTCAACCGAAATCGGCCCTATTAGAGAACGGTACTAGTAGCGTTGGACTTGTCAAATGCGTTTGACGCCGCGTGTCATTCCATGCTACTGGAAGGCATTCAGGCATGTTCTGCAAATCGATGCGATTTGCAAAGTATTGTTGTATATTTGTAATCAAAGTATTAAATGTTTCATAGCCCAAATCAAATCAAAAATCATCATTGAATAAAAAATTAAAGAACTAGGGGCAGTATTTAAAGACAATTAGTTAAAGCAATGAACTCACTCTAATTTGTTCCAATGCGAAGTGGTAAAGGCTCGAGAGTAGAAAAATATTTGGCCCTCCAGTTATCATCCATCAAACTAAGAGGACAATAAAGCTAATTTAGGTAAGGTACTTTGCATTCGAGACTATGTCAAGAGATATTTCAATTTTTTTCCATTTCCTTTAAGAGAACGGTCGCCCAAAACTTGCGAACGTGAAAAACTCGAAACTTGCAAGCATTTTTCCAAGACAAATATTGCAAGTGAAATTTTCGAGCACTTTTTCGTTAAAAATCTTAACCCTGGCTGGCGTCTTGGGACTACCGCAAATTATTAAATATTGAAGGAAATCAATTGCATTTTTTTTATTTATAATATATATATATCAATATATTCAGTATTATGTATATTAAATCTACAGTGTATCATTATTGTTATTAAACTTGATCCTTTTAGTTTTTTTTTTTTTTTGTATATATTTTTCTTTACCTTTTTTTATGGATGATAGTTACATACATATTGCGCAGCTGCGAGGGGCGCAAATTGCATGTCGATTAAATTTATTTTATCTTTTCTTTATGAGTTAAAACTAGAAGCAAATTTTTGTAGGCATCATACATATGTAATACGAATGCTACTCCTTTAGTATACTTTTTATACTTTTGTATGTTGTTTTCATAATATTTGCCATATTTACCTACTTTATATGTAATTTAAAAAGAATGATATTAATTAAATAATACAATATAATAAAAAAAAAAATCAATAGCTTTAGCTTTGACTTTTTACCCTTTTCTACCCTTTGCCTATGCTTGAAAATTGTTCTTTTCTTTTAAGCTTTTGCATATACTTATGCTTTCACATTCCAGACTACACTTGTGTGGTTGTTTTTGTTGAAGCTTTCACCTGCATTCGAGTTTTTCCTCTCATTCAAGCTTTCGTCTTTACTAGAGTTTTTCTTAACATTCAAGATTTCGGCTACATTTTAGCTCTCGCTTCCCTGTGAACTTTCACCTGCACTTGCACTTTTGCTTTAATTGAAGCTTATGCCAACATTTGAACTTTTGTTTTCCTGTGTGCTTAGGGCTGCAACTTTTGTCAAAATTTCGGGTTTTGATTTCTCACAGGCTTTCGCCTGCACTTGCGCTTTTGCTTTTATTGAAGCTTTTGCCTGCATTTGAACTTTTGCTTCTGCACTTGCAATTGCTATATTTCACTCAAGCTTTCGCCTGAATTTTGTTGTAGCTTGCACTGAGAAGCTTTCGCCTACACTTGTGCTTTTGTTGTTATTGAAGCTTTTGCTTTCCTGTAAAATTTGGGCTGTAGCTTTCACTGAGAAGCTTTCGCCTACACTTGTGCTTTTGTTCTTATTCAAGCTTTTGCCTGCACTGCGTTATTTAGAGCTTTCGCCCATACTTGACCGTTTTTCATTCAAGCTTTTGGCTGAACTTGAACTTTTGCTTTGCCTAAAGCTTTCGCTGCACTTGTGTTATAGCTTTCATTTAAGCGTTCGCCTAAACTTGTACTTTTTCTTTGTCTAAAGCTTTCGCCTACGCTTGTTATAGATTTTACTGATGTTTCTGCCTAAACTTGAACTTGTGCTTGCCACAAAGCTTTAGCCTGCAATTGAGTTTTAGCTTTCACTTAGCTTTCGCCCATACTTGGGTTGTTTGCATTCATTCAAGCTTTTTCCTGCATTTGCACTGTAGCTTTCATTGTTTATCTAAGCTTGAACTCTAATTTCGCCCAAAACTTTCGCCTGCACTTGCGTTATAGCTTTCACTTAAGCTTTTGCCTAAACTTAAGCTTATGCTTCCCCTGAAGCTTTCGCCTGCAATTGAGTTGCAGCTTTCACTGAAGCTTATGCTAATACTTTTGCCTGTATATAGCTTTCACAAAAGCTTTAGTGTAAACTTGAGCTGTTTTCTTTTATTCAAGCTTCCAAGTACACTTGCGCCCACTATCGCTAAAACTTTCGTTTATACTCAAGCTATTGCTTCCAAACAAATTAGTTAACAAATTAAAAAACATAAAACTAAAATAATTAATTTAGTACAAAGCACATTTTTGAGCGTACTTTCGTACATATTACATACACACAATATATGTATTGCATAGTGCAGTTGCTTACAAGTAAAATACAAAAATAAAAAGTCCGCAAAANATACGTGTCGCCTGTCAACGTGATTTCGTTTTTTTGTTTTGTTCATATTTCGGTCTGGTTTCAATTGTTGCTTCTTGATGAGTGAGTCTAACACTAATACTAAGTATACAATGTTAATTAACTATATGTATTTATTAAATTTCTTTTCTCGATTTACCTCTCCATAAACTGTAGTGATGTACTGAGTCATGTAAACAGTAATAAATTTCCAATAAGTGGCCTAAACATTTAATGAATTCGATAAGCGCGCCAATAATCGAGAGCGAATGTCGCGCAGAAGAGGACAGCCTCACATAAAAGTAAAAAGTACATGCTGTCAGCTAAGCAAACATCTCGGGCTTCTGCTTCCTTGCGCTACATTATTGAACGAACGTGCCCGCGTCATATCAGCATGTATGAATGTTGTTGGTGTTGAAATCTACTTGACATTACCTTACATACATACATATACATAATACATAAAATATTTGCCTACAACTGCTAACGGCTCCCAGCCATAAGTGCTGCTACTTTTTCCCAAAATTTTCGTAGCTTATATCTACAAACGCACACAAGTACTACTTTCCGTGCATCTAAAATCCGCGCAACAATGTATTAATTTTCGTTCGCGTGTGTTGTTATGTGTTATAGTCATCATGCTGCGAGCTAAAGTAGCTAACCAACCCACTAAATTCGCTCGCTTGCCCTTCACCACTGCCAGCAGCAGCTGCTGCTGAGGATGCGCCTTGCGCAGAGGACGAATCATCACCGCCATCGCCCTGTATACCACCTGGTGAGCTGCGCGAACCCGATGATTCGCCGGTAATGACCAATGGTGATTTGGTTTGTGCTGCAGCATATGTTTCCAGTGTGGTGAGTTTCTTTCTGGGTGGCTGTGGTGGCTCGCTTACAACATTCGCCGTGATTGCTGTGGCTGCTGCAGTTGCAGTCACCACGGGTGTTTTGTTGTTGACTATTGCAGCGACTGGGGCGGCAGTCACCGTAATGGATTCGGTTACGATTGCACGTGTCGGTATTGGTCGTGGTGGTGCTGATGGAGCGGTTGATGTTGCTGGCGTGGAAACGGGTGTGGAATTTGGTGTAGCTGATGCTGCCGTTGCTGGTGGCGCTGATGGTGGCGCCTGTGTTATTGTTGGCGTTGGTATTGGCGACTTTTGGGCAATGTTACGTGTAGCATTTGTGCTTGATAATGATGGTGGCGCAGACACAATGACCGAGCTGGGCTTTGAAATGGTTGCTGCTGCGCTTTTTGTTATGGTTTTCGTGTTGTTGGTGCTTGCTGCTGCTGCTGATGCTGCGGCTGCTGCCGCTGAAATAGCTGCTGCTGCTGAAATTGCTGCCGCTACGGAAGTGGCTGCCGATGCTGAAGATGTTGCTGATGGGCCTCCTCTTGATGTTGCTGCCGCTGCCGCCGCTGCTGCTGCTGCTGCGGCGGCAGCTACTGTGGCGGGAGTGGGTGGTCGCTGTAGCTGGGATACATGTGGTGTGGTCAATGGTGGCGGTGGTGGATAATAACCATATGGTGAATAAGTACCTGCCATGAGAGGTGAGAGTTTAGTTTTTGGGGGAGTGACAGCGAATGCTGGGTTCACTTAATGAGCGAATTTTTGAACATGATTCTGATAAACTGATTGCATTTGGAATATTTTGGAACCTCAAATTTCGTGCTCTTAAGTTTATCTTATAAAACCTCGAAGTTTTTAGGAGACTTGAGCATCTATGGATTTGCTGCTTCGTCCAATAAAACTTTTGAACGACGAGTTATTAATATTAAGGCATATAAGTATACAAGTCAACGCATCACATGCAATTAACTCGCTTGGTCTATCTTATATCGCTGCAAAGCCCTGTGAACGGATTTGAACTTGTGGCAAGCGCTCAAAACTTCGGTTAGTTTAGACCAGTCTAGGCAAAATATACACACCCTTATAGCGCATATTGCCTCCCGAGGCTACTGGCTATCATTTGGCGCGCATTTTCCGCATGCAATAAAGCGCACTGAATGCTTTCTTTCTGCACTCGTCAATGTTTCTTTTTCAGAAAGTCGAGTAAACTCCTAAAAATGTCGCCTGATTTGACATTTTAAGGTTAGCGATTTGATTTATGGAGTTCAAAATTTGTCTCTTATATCGCTTTACATCCGGAACTAGTTGAGTTCAAGACCTTTCCTTTCTGCCTACCTTGCCAGACTGCCAGTGCAAATTGTCGTTAGGAAGGAGCGCCCAAAAGTTGTAAAAAAAAAGAATAGGAGCGCTACAGTTTTCTGCCGCCCTAAGGCAGGTATGAGGTATCTAAGAGAAATTGAAATTGATAAATTGAAAAATTGAAAAATTGAAAAAGCAACGACAAATTACATGGCGAATTTAGCTGAGTGGGTAGACCAATGGTCGTTGCTGGTTCAAGTTCCAGTGATGAAGAGATGTGATAATCTCCGAACCTTCTAACGCTTTCATTAAGAACAGTCGCATGCTCAATAAAATTTTACATTATAAATAAATAATAAACAAGTAATAATAAATAAATCAAAATAAGAACCTGTACCAAAAACATTTTGATAATATGCAAACATTTCAGCTGCATATCCTAAATCTCAGTCTAATGCGGGAGGCTCTTTACATTCAAGGGACCATTAAAAAACTCTGAACCAGTGATATGAGCCGGTGCCTAGGTTATACAGGCACTGCCGAGTTAATTTCAATAAAACTCGCTTTGAATTCCAATTGGCAGGGGTTGAAATTCACTCGAAAGCGAAATGCAGAACCCGAATTTCCTGATAACAACGATTTCATTGTCTTCCTGGTGCTTACCCAAATCTCAAAGTCCATTGCGGCAGACTCTAATATACACTCAAAAGGTCATAAAGAGGCTATTACCGACAGCAGCAATAATANGTTCCCTGCCGAGTGAATTTAAATAAAACTCGCTTTGAATTCCAATTGGCAGGGGTTGAAATTCCAACAATGATTTCATTGTCTTCCTGGTGCTTACCCAAATCTCAAAGTCCATTGCGGCAGACTCTATACACTCAAAAGGTCATAAAGAGGCTATTACCGACAGCAGCAATAATAAACTAACCATTTGCAAAATATTCTAGACGGATACCCTAAAATCATTGTCCATTACGGTGTATGCAAAGTTTCTTCTATATATATATTTTTAATAAAGTTTATGAAGCAGGCAATCAATTTTACATTCACTTACGTGGGCCACTCGCAAACTCGGGTCCTCCTCCGCTTACTGGAACGCGTAAATTCGGCGGCACAGGTGGTCCACGTGGCACAAAGTTAGGATTGCCGTATATTGGTGGCCTGCAAAAAGACAGAAATAGAAGCAAAGTCAACACTTCGGAACGCCCTACTACATAAATTTGCATTTTGGAAACCATTTTTTTACCGATATGGATTCAGATGTGACGTTGAATGACGTGCTGGTGGTGGTGGTCCACCATACATACTAGCACCCATACCGCTAGGCATATGATGTTCACCCGGTGCAGGGTATGTGGGACGTTCGCCGGCTCCAGCTTGTGGCGGTTGGCCATGATTGCTCAGTGCTGAAGCGCTGCCACGCAATGGTGGTGGTGGACCATAACTTTGGCGCATACCATGTGGCGGTAATCCTGGCATGCCTGGCGCATCGCGGTGACGTTGCATTGAAGGTGGTGGGCGTGCGCCACTAACAGCTGACAGTGATGTCGGTGGCGCAAAGAAGCGCGCAACTACAAAAACAAATAAATTGTGTTATTTATTAAACTGAAATAATTCACGCAATGTCAAACTCACCATCAGCACCCGGATACAAGTTGCTCATGGCTCTGACAACGCTAGCATGCGCGGCGGCTGCTGGTAGTTGCGGCATGCGCGTTATTACCGATGCTTGTGATACTGCAGCTGAGCTAGCGCTGGAACGCGCTGCGCCCTCTTGCTGTTTGTATAGCTGCGGTGGTGGTGGAGCGTTAACCGAAGCAGAGACTGCTGACTTTATGACACCGCCACCGACGCCGCTGCCACCTCTTCCGTTGCTGGATGGTGGCTCAGGCGCTTTATCTGATTGTGTCGTTGCCGCGGTGACAGCGGCAGCTGTTTGCTGTTTTTGTAAAGTATCCCGCAAAGGTGTAATCTTTTTTCGTCTACCGCGCGGCTTTGGTTCCGGCTCAGCTTTGTTGACGCCGGCACCAGCTGGCGCAGAAGTAACGCTGCTGTTGTGCCCTGTGCCACCGCCAACCCCACAGCTTGCAACTGCATCACGCGAGCCGTGCGCGCCAGGCAAAGGTTGTGATGTGGGTGGAAGATTGTGGCGCGCAGCAGCATTCATAAGATGTTGCGCCGCCAACATTTGCTCCATTGTCACACCCGCCGGTAGACGCGGCATATGCTGTGGTGGAAAACTGTTACGGTTCAAGGGTTGACCAAGCGGCGCGTTAAGTGCGCTCTGCAGCAAGTGCGTAGGCGGCGTTGAAGTGGGATGACGCTGCAGCAGATGAGCAAGCGGCATACTGGCGCTATGTGGTGGAAATTGATGACGCAGCAACGGAGGATGTAGCGTCGGCATCGGCAAGCGTTTACTGCGGGTGAGCTCCTGCAGACCTGACGGCATCGATGACATATGGTGCGACGCAGGCCCTGAGCTGGCGCCGGGCATCTGTGACAAAGCGGCTAATGAGGGATTCATGAGTGATGTCTTCCCAGCGGCTGCGGCAGCAACAGCAGCAGCACTTAGAACAGCTGCGGTAGTATTGGTTGTAAGATTTGAAATGGGGGCAGAAGCAGGTGCAGCAGCTGCCGGCGCAACAGGCGCTTCTTTGGGTTTGCTGGTCTGTTTTGTCGGTGTACGCAACACTTCATCTGGGGGCGGTAAGTCGCGNTGTTGGCGCAACAGGCGCTTCTTTGGGTTTGCTCGTCTGTTTTGTCGGTGTACGCAACACTTCATCTGGGGGCGGTAAGTCGCGCGCGGCAGCAGCAGCGCTCAACTCTTCCTCCTCTTCCACCATGCGCGCAATGGTATCCTCATCCATGTCCTCTGGGAAGTCATCGGGTAGATCGGCATCGTCAAACGCATCCACATCATCAACATTGTCCGAGTCGCCGACACTTTCGCCTTTACGTTGCAGATAATCAGCATCCAGCGCTTTCGCTTGGCGTATAACCGACAGCGGTACAGTCGACAAAGATTCGCTTGCCTTCGTCGGCGAACGCTTATCCTTTTCGCCATCTGCTTTGATGGGTGTGAGACGCGGCGTAGCAGCCAACTTTGCGCCCTCCGCATTCTTCTCGGCCAGCATGCGCTTGATTTCCTCCTGCCTCTGTATGAACTTTTGACGCTCCTCGGGTGGCGTGTCTGGTCGTTTGACACCCGGTTTTATGCCGCCATCGGAGCTCTCATCGTCAAAGTCATCCAAGTAGGCATAGCGACGTCCGCGTGTGCGACGAGTGCTGTCTTCGCTATCCGATAAACTGTCTTCATCGTCAGATTGCTTCTTCTTCTTCTTCGATGCGGTAGTCTTTCCTTTGCCCTTACCCTTGCCTTTACCCTTATTAGAATTGCTGGATTTCAGTGGCTGTGAACGTGGCTGTTTGCCCGAACCCTTGCCGCCAGTGATGTCATCCTCGTCGTCTTCCTCCTCTTCTTCGCTCTCACTGACGTCATCGTCAGAATATTCGACACGTTTCGCCTTTTTCACAGGCTGTTTCTTCAGTTTGGGCGATTTGCGCGCCACGACCGTACTATTGCCGCCTTTGCGTTGCTTCTTACGCTTCGACGGATACCAGGCGCCATCTGATTCGCTTGTTGTGTCATCGCACAAATCAGCGCTATCAACGTCCTCGAGATTTTCGGAAGCTTCTGAATCCGTCTCTGACTCACTGTAATCCCAATCATCTTTTCGTTTCTTTTTCGACTTTGGACGGTCTTCTTCCTCCTCATCATCGCTTTCATCCACAACAAACCGTCGATCCTTACGCCGTTCGCGCACTGCTCGGCGTGCCGCCTTACGTTGCTTTTTGTTCTTCTTGCCGCGCCGACGAAACACTTCCAGGCTTGAATCGCTGTCGGTGGACACAGATATTGATGTGTCCTCCTCCTCTTCGTCTTCAAAGGAAGAGGTCTTGAAATCTTCATCAGACGCGTTGTCCTCTTCGGAACTTATGTCTAATGTAGTCAATTTACGTGGCTTCTTCTTCGTCTTAGTCGTCTTTGGTTTCGCCTTGCGTTTGAGCACTTCATCGGATTCTTCGCCATCCTCCTCTGCCTTTCCTTTGTCAGTGCCATCTGCCTTCTCTTGGGTCTCCTTTTCGCCTTCTGCGCCTTTTGCGTTCTCTGCGTCTTCTACCTTCACCTCATCATCCTTCTTTTCTTCTTTTTTTGCTGCTTCCGCAGCATCCGTTTCAAGTTGATGTTGTCGTGCTTTCTCCTCTTTATCTGCCTCCATTATGGTCGAAATATCTTTGCCGCGCCCCAAATTACCTGCGCCTGCAAGCGCGTCCATTTCCTTCTTGAGTGCCGAATTGATCAAGTCGTCATACTCGTTTAAACGGTAGCTGACATTGATTTGACGCCGCTTGCGTAGTTTGTAAATCGGCTCATTATCACTGTCGGTTAGAGAAGAAGATGAGGAAGAGCCCGTGCCGCTGCGCGATCCACCGCTCTCGCTGCCAGTTCGATGAGCTGAGCCGCTACCGGTGCCACTATCCGAGGTATTTCGTTGTCGCCGTCGAGTGGCGATACCGCGTGCCGCTGCACGTCGCCGACTGCGACCATCGCCGCGCCTGCGCTTGTGACTATCTCGATAGCTTTCCGCACGCGACTTGCTTTTGCCTGAGCCCTTCTTCACCAGCGGCTTATCGTCATCGCTGTCATCGTCACTTGGACTTGCACCATGCTTTTTGGCCTTCTTATTTCTTTCCTCGCTATCATCCTCATCCGAACTGCCGCTGGTGTCACCGCTTTCACCCTCGCCGCCTTCCTTATCATTTTCGCAACGACGCTTACCCTTTTTCTTCTGCTTCTTGCGCTCTTTTAACTCCTTTAACTGTTGCTTCTCATTCTCCAAACGCACTAGCTCGGCACGCTCTGCTTCGGCCGCCAAGCGCTTATTCTCCTCTTCCTGCAAGCGTTTCTGCTCCACAAATTCATCGAAATCGTTCAGCTGTTTCTCTAAAGCGGCAATCAGCTGCTCCTGTTGGCAGGGCGGACAATACCAATCGCCTTCGGGTATGAAGAACAGCACCGGCGATAGGCAGGAACAATGATAGCCCTTGTCGCAGTTATCGCACAGCAAAATCCATTCAGGATGATCAGACTTGCCACACTTTTGACACGCCTCCTCGTCGCCATCTTCACCCTCTTCAGCGTCTTCTTTGCGTGCGGTACGCGCACGCTTCATTGGTACCACCTGAGTGTCGTCCTCCAAATCGGATTCGGGTGAAAATTCGTGGTCGGAACGGAAAAGCGGAGAGCCGGGATCACTTTCCTGAGGCGGCTCATCATCTTCTTCTGGCTCTTCTTGCTCCTCGGAACCCGACGACCAGCCATCTTTGCCCGGACACTTCTTTTTGGCTTTCTTCTTCATTTCCACTTCGCTCTCCTCTTCTGAAGATGACGATGGTTCTGAAGGCGGCAGTACTGTGGGATCTGTTTGCGCCTCAGCCTTCTTTTTCTTCTTCAACTCCTGCTTCATAGTACGCAGTGCAATCTCCTCGAGTTTGCGCCGTTCGGCCTCCTCACGTATTTTTTGTTGTGCAATGCGACGCGATTGACGCACCGGCGTCTCAGAATCAATAGTTTCAATAATATTGGTAGTGTCCACATCGAGTAGCTGGCGCGCACCTCGACCGCGCGCTGAGGCAGGCGTAGTCTCGGTTTCGCTCTTTTCCGGGGTTGCGGTTTTAGTTGGCGAAGTTGCGCTTTTAACAGTTTGAGCAGCAGGCGTCGCTGGCGCAACTGGTCTTGTAGGTGTACTTGTAATTTTTCCGCTGGGAGCGGGAGTTTCTGCCTTTTTAATTTCCGTTTTAGGTTTCGGCTGTAAACGAAATAACGAATATATAGTTAGCAAAGATAGGATAAGATAAGGTTGCAATTAACATTGAGATTAATATTAAGACTGAGATTGTGGTTGACATTCGTACTAAGAATAAGAAACAATACAAGTAATTCCTAAGCAAAAAGCAAAACCGACATCAATTCTCATAAAAACAGTTTAAGATTATCATTAATCTCTTCATGATGCAATGATCGCATTTAAATCAAATTAGAATGGGACCACCTGTGAGGTAACACCTTTCCTTTAAAAACAGAATTAACGTGGTCCAAAGTTTTATGCGGTAACATACATAAAAAATAAAAAAATACAATAAAAAAAAATATTCCGACGAATTGATAACTTTTCTCTTTTTTGTGAAGTAGGTTAAAAATTAATCAAGAATCTTTTCACTTCCGTGGTTTGCCCCAGGCGCACTCATTTTATCGATACGAATAACGATTCAATTCCCTTACCTCTTCTATTGCGCTGCTTGCTGTATCCTTTTTGGCATCCTTCTTGTTTGCTTTTGCCGCCTTAGGCGATTGCTTGGGCTTTTTTACTTCCTTGCTCGCTTCCTTTGCAGTAATTGTTGTTGGCTTTCTGTCGCTTTCTACTACCTTGGCTACTTCCGCAGTTGGCTCAATTGCTTTTTCCTCTTTTACCGCAGCTTTCTTCGGCGTGACTGCCGCCGTAGTCTTTACGCCCGCCCTTGTGCGTTTCGGTTGCGGCAATTCAGCATAAATGACGGTCGCAGCACTGCGTCTACTCGAGCGCCGACCGACTAATGCCGCATCTGATTGCCTATTCCCCGCATCGGCCGGCGATGGACTCTTCTCCTTTTTTACGGCAACCTCTTCCTTTGTTTCTTGTTCCACTAACGATTCATATTTCATTTCTTTATTACTTTCAGGCTCGGTTGCGCTTGTCGTTGGCTTCACTTCCTCACTACTACGTCGCTTGCGTTGACGATCTGGTGTCTTCCGATCTGATGTTTGGCGTACAGTATTTTGCCGTTCTGGAATCTTGCGATCAGGCGTCTTCCGCTCTGGCGTTTTCCGCTCTAACATTTTACGCTCTGGTGTCTTGCGCTCTAGCAGCTTACGCTCTGGTGTCTTGCGCTCTAGCAGCTTACGCTCTGGTGTCTTGCGCTCTAGCACCTTGCTCTCTGGTGTCCTTTCTTTGCTCTCAGCACCGGCCAGTGACTCCAGCTTTTTAACGATATCGCTTGTGACTGCTGTGGCGCTGGCATCGCTGATTGTTCGCTTGCGTGGTATTGAGTCCTCATCACTTTCTTCCTGTCTGATCTGAGTAAGTAAATTCTTCTTGAGTGGCTTAGTTATGGGCAACTTTTTTGGAGGCGGAAATGTGGCTAGCGCATTACCATCGCTATCCTCGGTTGTTGCTTTTGTTGAAAGAGCAGAGGTTATTGTTGATTCAATGTTGGACACCGACGCATTCACTATTACTGCAGCTGGCGCCGTCTTTTCATTGCTCTTTTTCAACTTTTTCTCAATTATTTCAGCAAGAGTTGGCTTCTGGCGAATTGTTGGCGTTGGCGCTAGTGTTGGGCGTTCTAGCGTTAACGGCGGTGGCATTTGTGCCACAGGCGTTGGCAATACTGGCACTGTGCTCGCAAACGGCGATACCATCGGAGCTACTGCAGCTGTTGTTGTTGCAGAAGCGAACACTGGAAACGCCAAAGCGGTGGGGCTTGTCAGATTAAGTGGCATGCTCTTCTCTTCCACCAATGGCGCGACGATCGGGCTCGTAGCGTTTTTCGCTGCTGTTTGTGCTAGACTGCTTTCCCTCTTTGCAGCCGCTTCGTGCGCCACCTTGAGATTTTTCACACAGCGTTCGATTTGTCGACGCGGCGTTATAATTTTTCGTCTACGGCGCGCATCTTCTTCGCCACTGGATGATGTGGTCTCTTCAATGCGACCCTTCTGTGCTTCTACTTTCTTACGCAAGTCGGTGTTAGTTATTTTCGGGCGCATTTTTAGCCGCTTGCCACCTACATCGGCTGGGTCGATGTCATCCTCAGTAGCAAGTTCTTCTTGCTGCTCCGAAAGTACATCTACTTCACTCTCTGAAGTTGATAAACGATGTACGGGCGGCGGTGGCAAGTCTTCCAGGCGACGTTTACGATTGACTACAGCATGGGATGTGGAAACGACAGTGGTAATAAGAGCCTTCTCAGTTGGTTTAGTGGCATTCAATGTGGGTGGACTTGCTCTAGCAGTGTCTGTCTTTTTTTCTATATTATTTATNTTGCTCCGAAAGTACATCTACTTCACTCTCTGAAGTTGATAAACGATGTACGGGCGGCGGTGCAAAGTCTTCCAGGCGACGTTTACGATTGACTACAGCATGGGATGTGGAAACGACAGTGGTAATAAGAGCCTTCTCAGTTGGTTTAGTGGGTGGACTTGCTCTAGCAGTGTCTGTCTTTTTTTCTATATTATTTATGCTTGGTGTTGGCAATATTGGTTCCTCAATATTATCGCTTACTGAAGCAGTTAATTTTCTTTCACAATTTGTTGGTTGATTTGTTGCATCCTCACTTGCGACAGCTGAACTTTCACAATTGGTTTTCTCTGCCAATAATTCACTTGAGTGCGTGGGAATTTCCTTTTCGTCTGTTTCAATGCCGCCGCCTTCTTTTTCTGTATGAAAGTCATCTTTGTTCTCTTTATGACAGCCATCTTCCTTCTCGATATGAAAGTCATCCTTCTCCTCAGTAAGAATGCCATCTTTCTTTTCTGTATCAACAACTTCACTATTTATGACATCTTCAGCCTTCTTTTTTTCAACAACGACACCTGTTTGCTTTGTGTCGGCGATAATCGCCTCTTCAATATCAACAATGTCTGCCTGATCTACCTCAGCAGCTTTTTCGGGAAGTTTAACATCATTCTCCTTAACATCTGCGCTGCTGTTCGCTTTTTTGTCGTCCTTCTTTTCTTCATAGGCTGACTCCTTTGATGTGTTGTCGTCACTATCAGTAGGATGTGCGACATTTTTCGCGTGTTCCTCTTCTTCTTCGGTTGGTTTGACTTCAACTTCCTTCTCTACATTATTTTTTTCTTCTAAAATATTCTCTTTTACTTTCCCCGAATGTTCAGCCACTTCATTATTTGTCTGGTCCTTATGTTTTTCCTTTAATATTTCATCTTCTAAATCATTTTCTTTTGCTATTGCTTTGTTGTGGTCCAGTGTATTATCCTGCATATTTAGTTCTACAGTATTTTCTTTCTGATTGCGGACATCTTCATGCGGCACAGCCGCAACTTCAACCTTCTCGTCGTGCTGATTTTCTTCATTTACCTTCTCATCACGTTCAACCTCAATTTTACCATTTTCCTGTTGCGAAATCTCACCGCAATCAACATCTTCGCCATTAGTGGTGACTTTTGTCAAATGTTCGTTTATTTCCGGAATTGCTGCTGCTTTTAAGCTATTATCAACTTTTGCTGGAGCTACATCTTTACTATCTTCCTTTCCACCGTCTTTATTATTTTCTATTACACTTTCACCATCAGCCATTTCAGCCTCATTTCCGGCTTTGTCCTTCTCGGATGTCTCATCTTTATTTATTTCTGTGCATACAGCTTCTTTTCCAAAATCCTCTTCAACGACACTTTCTACTTCTTTGTCCCCATCCTTGGGTGCTTGCTTTATTGGACTAAGTTTAAGGCAACCTGGCTCGCCAAAGAAAAATGTCGCTTTTGCCTCGTCTGTTTTTGTAGGTGTCGTAGCAGTTGTTGTAGTTGTTGCTGCTGTTGTTTCCGCTTCACTTTTGCCATTTCCTACTAAGCACTCCGCGCCACTTCCTTCGCCGTAAACATAAAGTGTTTCCTCTGAAATTTCTTCACCGACCATGCAGTCTGGTTGCGTATCGGTATAGTTACCTTCAAAAAAATCGCAATGGCAAAAAATTTTGCTATTGATATTTTCACCTTCGCAGCCCTTACCACTTCCCTCGCCACGTACCACAAGTGGCGGCTCTTCAATAGCTTCACCCACTTCGTTCTCTTGATGCGAATCACCATCAGAGTCTTCTATTTCTTTCTCCTCATTTTCATCCTCCTCCGCCGCTGCACTGTCTATATCTTCTTCTTCTATGGACAATTCTTCTTCGTCATCATCGACATCGTCATCCTCATCCTCTTCTTCCCCCTCTGATTTTGTATTTTCATATCTGCTCGGTTTTTTGGCGCGATTGGCATCTAAAAGCGAAGGACGCGCTTTTTTGATTATATTTAACTCTTCACTGCGCGGTGAACTTTTATCCACCTCTTCCAAAGCACGTTTGGTTGCGACCGGAGCAGTGGTTGTTGGTGATGAAACAGTTAATTTACCATTATTAGATAATTTTATACGCAAATTTGGTACACGCGCTTCCTCCTCCTGTGAGTCATCTTGTTCTTCTGGTGGCGGTGGTTTCTCCACCTGAGCTGTGCAACTGTTACTGCTGCTGGTGTCTTCATCCACACCAATATCTGTAGAAGGCAACACTACTTCGTTGCCGCGCAATCGTGATATCAGGTTAACTAGTTCTTCGCGTGTTGTGGCGACAACTTGCCATATGTCCTCGTCCAAATGTTCCTGATAGATGCGTAAATTGCCGTCGCCATCCTGTGTAAAGTAGTATGCATGTCCGTGTCGATCACGACCGATTGGTTGTGAACGTAACGAGTCGGCACCCATTGTGAGTATTTGAGCGCGAAATTTTCCATTGCGTTGGAACTGACTTTCCAGCAATTCCTGCAAGTAAGTGAATGTAAAATTGAGTTCGAATTTCACAGCAGAAATATATCGTCGTTTAAAGTTCAAAACCGCGTATCGTCGTTCTACAAAACGGCTGATTTCTTTTGCCGAAAAATTGGATTTTCTCACACAAACCCTTGGCTCAAGCTTTATCCATTCGTCCTGAAATATACCAGCCAGAAATGCGATGGTTTTATAAAAATGCGAACCATTTTGAAATATGAGTGTTTTTACTCTAAAAAATAATTTATGAAACCTCACATTTGTATTATCTTGATACGCGGTTTTGCAATTTGTTGATACGCGGTTTTATACTTTAAACGACGATATGCATCATTAATGTTTTTTTTGGATATGCTTACTCTAAAAATACGCAGTTTTACTTTCAAGCTCGACTTTTTGTAGCCAAAACGTTCTATCTCCCAAGCATCCTGAGCGGAGTAAGTGAAACAGAACTTGCTTAGCGCCGACTCCCAGCTTTTCTCATGCACAGTTTTACGCGTTTTACGCAAAAGTTTAATGTGCAGGTCACGCAACTGATCGAAGACTATTAATAAAAAAAATAGTAGTTAAATAAAAACAGTCAGCAGTCTAGTAATCTGTAATTACTTACCTTCATCTGTATTTGTTAGCCAATCTTGTAAATGCTTGAAATTCGGCAAAGCAATGCCCAAATCCTTGGAGAACTTTTGTAGAAATGCACAAATCACCGCAAAGTCCGGATCATTGGCACAGGAACGCAAGGAGGAGTTAACCACTTCATCATTTCCCTCCTCACCCTCCTCGTTTCCTCCATCTTCTTCTCTTTTCAGTTCGGCCAATGCAGCTGATGACGCCGATGCCGATTCCGCAGCCGAAGCCGCAGCCGCGGCCGCTGCGGCTATCATCGACGACGCCATCTTTCGTGCCGTTTATGTTCTCCACTACCGCCGTGCTACCGTGCTTCCGCCGCCTAAAGTTCAATTACTTTTTCACGTAGCCACAAGCACAGACGCACGCACACAAACTCTTGTATCCACACCTTTTTTTGTTTATTATTATTTTTAAAACAAATATTTCCCTCTGCTATTCTGCCTCTGTTGGCGACAGAATGCGGTGCTTTGCGCGACGCCAGTGAGCTCTACTTTGATCTACTCACTCACACGCTCAATCGTTGTCTTTTCGTTGCCTTCCTCTGAAAAAATTTTCTCATTGGCAAATTCTTCTTGGCTTCAACGCCGTCCATGAAAAACTGAAAATTTCCAACAAAAATCCAACATCCAAGCACTTATTTCTATTTTACACAATGTACAACATATTTATTTAACTTTTTGTGATATTTTTAGTTGGAAAATTTATATAAATTCCAAAGAATTTTTTAAAAAACAACGCAGCACACAAAAAATAACAAAATTTCTACCACAATTTTTCAATTCTCTTTCGGTAATGGAGAACGATTAGTATCCAAGCGTGTTGCCGGATCGGTGTGTGAATAGGCGAAAGGAGAATTATTGAAAAATCGTGTGCTCACAAATGCCAAACCAAAGAACGTAAATGTACATTTACGTTCTTTGATATGACGAAACATTTTTATAATTTTAGACAAATTCGCCATAAATCGCGCCACACAGCAACACTCGTTTACCCCATGTCTCCATTTTCTACTAAATGTGTCTTAACATCTGTCAAATTTCTGTTTTAACTTTGTCCCGCTTTCTCATGTAGGCAACTTGCTGTCTTAACATATCACTTTCAAAATGGCATCAAGCCAATCAGATCGAACTGTACCCAATGTAGATGGCGCGCTAAAATGAAATTTGAGTTGTCAAACTACCAAATGGCAGCTGATGTTAAGACAGCGATGGCAAGAAATTCGCCAAGACAGTTATAGTTTAAGTGTGGGAATTTTGCGGTCTCCACCTGACATTTCTGTCTTGACACCGCTTTTTTAACAGAATCTGTAGAAGGTGGAGACGTGGGGTTAGTTTGACAGCACTTGCAGCAAAAGTGGAAATTGCTGGTGCGGCAGGTGCAAGCTGAAATTATTAAATTATTACGGGATTTTCGTAATTTCATTTGTAGTTTTATCTTGCAACTTTTATTTCGGAAAGTGATTTCTGCAAATCTGCATAGAAAAAGCGCTTGCCACATCTAACAGTACTATTAAACAATTGTCGATGTTGCCAGACGATCTGTCTCTCTTTTACTTAATCGATACTTTTCGATAAAAACTGTTCTTCTATCTCCAATCACATATAAACAATCCAATGGAAATGAACTATTTGTTAAAAATGTCCGTTAAAAACATAGTACATAACTGGGAGTAAGAAATACTTAAAATATGAAATAAATTTTGTGGATAGGCAATTTTTTAAGCTGATAAAGTTAGAAAAACGAAATTCGAGGTTGTTATCGAGATTATATAAGTCCATAACATATAATTTTTTCAAAAACAAATATTTCGAGATTTCAAGGATGAAATTTTAAAAGGACATTTTCAATACTTACTAGTCCTTATGCACCAAAAAATTTAATCTGCTTAAATTCTAAAAAATTTCCCCTTTAATTTGATACCCATAATTCTTCTTTCTCCAAGCATATTTCACTGAATTTTTTAAATCATTTTTGACTTACTGACGTCAGAGTGAAAAACTAAAAACGCAATTCTGCTATATTGGGCCCATGGATCTTCGAATATAATGATTTTTATGTGTAAAATTTACTATCGCACGGTGTTATATATATAATAAGCTAGACATTTATAAAAAAAAATATTAATTATTAAATAAAAACAGAAATATTAATTATTAAATAAAAAAAGAAATATAGCCAATACTGGTCAATAAACGGAGTTTCTATTATTGCCATCAGTGCAAATCATAAGTCCCGAAAATCCCGGGATTATTTTTCAAGAATCTCGGGATTAACATTCCTAGTTTACACAGATCAGAAATAACTAAAAAAATGTGAAAATTATTAATTTCGAAAAAAATTATGTTTCGGAATATAAAATTTAAAAAAAAAACAATTTTTAGTATCAACATTTTTTGGGTATTAAGTAGTTTTTAAGGATTTTTTTTTTGGGAAAAAACTAATATTTTTAAATTTATTACGAAACAAATAATATTTACATAATATGGTAGGAAAACCTAATTTTTTAAGAAAATCAATATTTTTGGCCAAACAAAAATTATTTTGGAGGAAAAAATGTTTGGGAAATAATAAAATACTACAACTACTTTTAAGAAAAATAAAACCAGAAACAATTAAAAACGAAACCAGAAAAAAATTAAAAATGAAACCAGAAAAAAATTGATTTTTTTTTTCAAAAAATTAAAATTTTTTTCAAGGAAAAATGATGTCAACTAAATTTTTTTTAATAAAAAGTTAGGGAAAAAATATCTTTTAATCGAAATTAATGAACATTTTTATGTATTTTTACATTGATTTTTTTAAGAAGTTATTTACTTGAACCTCGATCAATAACATTTTACAACTCAAATTGTGCTATTTCCAATGGGTCGGACAAAAGTAAGAAGGGTGTTAGCTGAGTGGGTTTGAGGTAAAGGTCTTTTAACTTTACTTTCCCTTCTCGTTTCTAAAACATTAGGCTGAGCTTACGTTGGTGTGCAAGAGAACGTTTCCGAAAAGTTTGTTTATAAAAACCTCGATTTTTTATACTTCCTACATGTCTCAAAAAAGTGTGCGTAGAGATGGTTAGGCAGACGTTTAAAGCATATAAAAAATATTTGCTTTAAATGAATCCAAAGGTTTTCATTCTATTGATTTCTCATTGCAACCTTTAGCCTCCTTGAGAAGTGAAAAAAAATCTCTTGGCAGACGACATCTTATGGCCCAGGATTCGTTATAGCCCTTCAGAGCCTAGACGCTTTCTGAAATTCGCTGTTTCTGAGTTAGTAAAGAGAAGACCAGTTGAACTCAGTCAAGTATTCTTGCTTGCTTCATTCCTCAGACCTATCATTGATTCATCTTTTTACCTACCATTCGGTTGGTATAGACAAAATCCGTAGTCAAATAGCTGGAACAATAATCGACTCCTACGTTTTTCTATCTTAAAAGGCGCGTAGGCCAGCCATTTCGCAAATGTTTAAAGGACAATGACTTTTGGGGTATGCAGCTGCAATGTATGGCCGCCTAGGAAGGTGCCTCTTCCCAACTAGTTGATGTCCTCGTGAAGTCCAAGGCCGGTGGCCGTGATGCCGCCGCCATCCAAGAAATACGATGGACAGTTTGAAAAAAAAAGTTGGGCCTTGCGATGTCTGCTGCAGCTGTAGCCGGTGCTCGCGCCCGGACAAAAGAGAAGGACAAGGCATTCACAAATTTCTTCTACGAATGCTTGGATTGCCATGTGTGAGTGGTAGTTTACAGCATCGAGATCGAGAGACGAGACTCCACATCGATCAAGGTAATTAAAAAGTGAAGTCTTCTATTTACGAATGAAAATCGCACTTTTTCAGTCACTCATCAATGTCCGATATATGGGGAAGCTTGGGCAATGGCAACAAGCCAAATGAACTTTACAACGATATAGACATAGTGCAGCGAATTAAAATACATCGGCTACTTTGGCTCGGTCATATCATACGAATAGTCACAAACGTTCCACTTGGGGTAAACAGTGGAAAAGGAGGAACTCCTCAGCGCTGCAAGGCCCAGATGGACATACAACAGAATAGTAATTAATTTTTTTTTTATTATCTAAATGAGCTGAAAAAGAGTCAAACCTCCTTGACTGAAAACTCTGGCAAAAAAATAGTTTTATCAAGCAGACGAATAAATGGAAGAGGTTGTCTTCAGAGCCCTCGACACGCCTGGTTTAAATTGGTTAGGAGCAGATCAAGGCCAGATAACCGATTGGCACGACCATAGCTTCGACATGTAATCGGGGTTATAACAGCCCACAGTTGGACGGGAGTCCACGCAAACAAAATTGGTCTACAGTCAAATGACTTACATACTTATGTCGTAACTGCAGCGATGTAGATGTCATCGAGAGTATACGTCACTTCGCCGCTTTAGCTAACGGCACGCCGACATTCGTTTCATCGCTGCTCGCTTGAGTATCTGGCTAAACGGA